GCACCAAGTGCATTAAGTACCTGCTCTTCGTCTTCAATTTCGTCTTCTGGGTGAGCCTCGACCGGGGGGTAGGGAGGGCGCACCCCGAGCCTGGCAGGCCGCGCGCCCTTCTAGGCCCAGCGGAAGGGGCGCAACCGAACCGCCAAGTTGCGGGGCCACCTGTGTGCGCCGGGCACGGGGTTGGGTGGGGGGTCCTAGGCCTGCTGGTCGCGGCGCTGGGGGTCTTCCCGGGCCACCGCGCTCCTCGACGGCGGGGCGGGAGGCTTCCAGTCGGGTTTCGGGCCTCTGCGTGTCAGGGCCCAGAGCCAGGCAGCCGGGCTGGGGCGTTTGGTGACCTGGGGTCTCTTCCCTTTTGGTGATGGTGTTGGTGCGGTGGGTGCGCGTTCCGGGCCGCGTACCCCGCCACTGCTCAGCCCTCCTGGCCGCTGTTTCTGGGACCACCCTGCTTTGCGGGGACCGAGGGGGCTCGAGGGCGGAGCTCGCCCCGCCCCGCCCCCATGAGCTAATCGGGGCCACCGCCCCTAGATGGGCGGCCTAGTTGGGGGGGGGGCGAGGCGGAGAGGCGCACACTCTACTCGAATCTTGGGAACTGTCCACTCAACTCTGGGCCCATCTCAGTTCACCCTCCCATCTGCTGTCGCCACCTTGGGGCTCCAGGCCCGGCAAAGCCCTCGTGCTGGGGGCCTGCACCGTGGTGGCCTCAGTTTGTGGGGCTCGATTTTCCTTTCCTACTCACCCAGACTGAGATTCCAGCCTGTCCTCGCCCTGGGACGCTGTAGAGGCTTTGAGGGGAGAGGGGCTGGGCGGCTGTTTTGAGTTGGCACAGACAGGGGGCCTGGAGAGCTGGGTGGCTCTGAGCTGGGGTATAGGGTGGAGCTCAGGCTGGGTAGATGCCCAAGTCTGGTCTTGGGCATCCACTTTGGAAAGAGGTGCCCACAGACTGGACATCTTGGGGTGCAGGAGGATCTCCTGGGGTCTCTGGGCTGCTGGCCTGAGTTGCATTTTCTGATCTGTCATAACTGCTATCCAGTAACGGACGAAGCTCTTTGGCTTTTGTTTCTGTTTCCTGTCAGTGTTGGAATTTGGGAGTGGAGATCTTTTTTTGGCCTGGAGGGACCAGGAATGGATGTCTGGAGCCCGTCTGCCAGCTGTGCCCTGTATCCCCTCAGCCAGTCTCCTGGGCAGTGCTTTGGGCCCCCACCTGGCCGCTTCATGTGGCTCTGCCACGCCAGGCTGCCCCCCCCTTCTGCTAGGGCCAGGACAACGTCTGGATGCTTCATTTCTCAAGTTGATACAGGGAGGGCAAACTTTTAAAATGCCCCCTGGAACAAGTGTGTGGGGCTGGGGACATCTGTTTGCCGTCTGGACAACTAGGGATCCCAGAGTGGACCTCGGGCAGTTAGGTATTTGGGGTGGGGAGAACAGAGACTGGACTGAACTCTAGCTGGGCATAGTGTGGGGGTGTCACATCCTACCTGGGGGTATCCCGATGTGGGCCTGCAGCCGTTAGCCTCTGCCCCAGAGGAGGGAGCAGTGAGGCTGTCAAGATGGGCCATATTTGGTCCGGGCAGCCAACGGGTCCTTCACTGAGGGGGTGGCATTGGCTTTGATTTAATGTTTGCCTACTTTAGCCCCAGCAAGGGCATGTCAGTGGGACACCTAGATGCCCCCTCTGCCAGTCCTTGAGCCTGTCCCCGACAGGCGGAGCCTGGGAGGGCCCTGGCGGGAGGTGGAGGGCAGGCCGAGGAAGAGGACTTCTGCAGGAGCAGATTCTTGCCTTTGCACTGGGTATCAGTGCCAGATAATTCCCTCCCACCTGCACAGCTGGGAGGTCTCCAGGGCAGGCTTCCCCTGACCCCCCCCCCCCCACCCCGGTCAGTCTGGTAGTTTCCCAGGCAGCCAGGGTGGAGGCCTGAAATAACCCCAGGGCCACTTTTTATTCAGGCTTAAGGAACTGTTTCCGAGGCCTCTCCCCTCCCCTCCCTGGGCATGCCCAGTTGAGCACTGAGAGCTGTATTCATCCACAGGCATCAAGGCCCCACCCATCCATTCTGGGCCACCCACTGTGGCGGGATGCCAAGCTGAGCGAGGCGGGGTGGGGGTGCACTACCCTGGTGGAGCCCCTCTCTGCCCACCAGCTTGGCTGAGAGCACAGTGCCCGGGGCTTGGACCTGGGTGGAGTCCCTGGTCCCTTGCTCTGGTCCTGGGCTTCTTCCCTTCCAAAGTGGGGGTCCTGTCTCTTGGGTTATTGTCAGATTAGGTCAGGAAATGGAAGTTGGGCATGGTGGCTGGCAGGGAAGTCTGCTCTCCTTGGCCATTGTAGGCAGTGACACGGGGAAGGGGCCTCAAGTGCCTGGGAGGGCCCCGCGGGACCCAGTGGCTGAGGGAGGGCTCCCGGTGCCCAGCTGCACTCGCTCACTGTACTCTGGCAGGAGCTGGGAGAAGAGGCTGATGATGAGTGTCTGGATCCTGGCACTTTTTAAAGTTCCTGTTCAGAGAGTAAAGTCTCCCCCGTGGGAGGCGGCATGAGAGGCAGGCTGGCACGCTCCTCAGGGAGGAGCTGGTCACCGCGCGTGCCCACACACTGCAGCACTCGTACTCGGCCCCCCGCCCCGTCTCCGCGCCAGACCCCGGGCCCCAGGCAGTGTGCGCACAGCCCGCCTGACCACGGCCTGCTTTGGGGCCCCCTGGCCGGACGAGCACTGGGCTGCGTTTGCGAGGCGGAGACGGTGCCGGCAGAAAGGCAGCACCCCGGCCCGAGCTAGCTGGGGAGACGGTGCGGACACCCTGCCGGGAGCATGGACATCTGGCCCTTTGGAATGGGACCAGGGGCCCCGTGGCAGAGGTGGCCGGGACTCAAGATCCCGGCCTCTGGAGCAGGTCAGGAAGAACAGAGGCTCCCAGCCCTACTTAGCTGCCCACCCAACTCGAATCCACTGTCTGGGGCCAGAGAATGACCTGTGTGAGCCCTGCTTTCCTCATCTGTGAAATGGATGTGTCACTTGCCATCTCCTTTGGCGGAAGATGGGGAGAGGGGCAGCGTCCCTGCCCAGGACTGGCTGCTCCTCCAGCCTAATGCAGCCTGTGGCTTCCTTCCAGAGGTGACGCGGTCAGCCCTGGCTGGGAGCGGGGCTGATTAGAAGCCTTGCTAACTGGCACTTAATTCTCACCTCCAGACAGCACATGACTGTCTATCGCTTAGCGGTTCTGTCGCCTTCCTTCCCGGAAAGGGGATGTGACCCTGGCGGGCTCTGGGTGGAGGCAGGGATTTCCTATTCCCAGTTTCAGTGGGAGGGCAAGTGGGCTCTCCCGGTGCCCCCCAGAGCATGGCTGCCCAGCTTTGGGGAAATGGCCATTGGGCTGGGCCAGACCGAGAAGAGGAAGTCTGTGGTCTGTCCCTGGGACGTGCTAGCCCCAGTGAGAGTGTCTGGGCATCAAAACAGGGGAGAGCTGGAGGAAGAGGTGGAGAGCCTGGGACCCTGGCCCACTCGGTGCCTGTCCTGTGGGGTTCCCACCCCTACCCCCAGCTCAGTCTGCTTCTGGAAATTGAGTTCACCTCCAGTCCCTATCTGATACTGCCTGGAAGTCCAGACAGGGAGCTGGGCCCCCCAGACCACACCCCTCCCAGATCATCTACCCCCATGTCTTCGTCTCAGCACCTGAAATCCCACGACAGGGAAGAGCCTGGGCCACAAAATCAATAAGGTTTAGAGTCCAGCCCCCGTGGGAGGGGCAGATGGCACCTTTGCTGTGGCACAGCATTTTGGAAAGGGCCCTGGGTGGGGGTGGGGAGGGGCACGAGGGCTGTCCGTCTGCCCAGGCCCCCAGGACCCAGGCTGGGCGCGCAGCAGGAGCTGGGTGCTTGTGGCCCTGGCAGCCGCCTTGCCCCGTGTCCGAGACTCCTCATCCTGCACTCCTCATCCTGCACAGAGAGCCAGGCTCCCCTGGAGTTGGCCCTTGGGACCCTCCCCCAGGCCTTCCCGCTGTCCAGCAGGACATGGTCTGGCCCCGCACACCTCCAGAGCCTCTAGACTCCCCGCCCAGCACACACTTGGTAATTTGGGGCCTGGCCCTCCCTGCGCTCGAGGGCTGCTGGGCTGGGAGGGCAGGGAGGCATGTTAGAGCTGGGGTGGGGGTGCAGTGTTGGGCCCCTTAAGTCCCTCAAATGGGTGGTGAGGGTGCTGTGGTCAGGGGGGCTGAGAGCCCAGGTGTGGGGATCCAGACGCCACAGAGGCCTGGGGAGCAGGGAGCCCCTTTTCTTTGAGGCTGTGCCCACTCTAACTTGGAGAGCTAGTGTTCCCCCCACCCCCGGTTATTGGGGTGCTGTGATCATGGTGGAGACAGTGATGGGCAGGAAGCCAGGACCGGTGGCTGTGCAGAGTGGGTGAGTGGGCGGCCCTCCCGGGCATCCTGTGTGCTCACATGGGGATCTTCGGTACCAGCTGTCCCATGCCCAGGCCGGCCCAGGTCGTGACTCTCCCCGCAGGGGAGATGTCTGGCGGCGCCCTGTAACCTGCCTCACCTGACACGTCGCCTGTGGGTGAGAGCTGAGTTTGGTTCTGTGCCACCTGCAGCCAGCTCCTGGGGACTCCCATGGGCCGTGATCCCAGGGCTGCAAGGCCCGGGTGCTGTAGGAATGAGGACCCCAGGCCACCCACCTTCCCGTCTCCATCCTGGAATGCCTGAGCCACCTCAGGGGTGCCGGGGCTACCGTGGGGCGGCAGGTTTGGGAACCGCCCACTGCAGTCCCGCCAGGCTCACAGGGAGCTCTCCTCACATCTCCCCACCCTGGGGGCTCGGCTGCCTGCCCTCTGGATGGACAGTCTTTCCCTCTGTCCCTGAGAGAACAGCTCCAGCCCACACCACGTAGAATGAGCACCCGTTTGGCCTCCAGCTGGGGCCAGGCTGTTATCAGGCCCACTGCGGCGATAGGGAGGTAGGTTCCCGAGTCACCACTTGAGGAAGTGGTGGATGCAGGCTGGAAACCGGAGCCAGTCCTCCAGCCCCTGGTTCATGGCCAGGCTGGGGTGCAGGTGGGGCTCCCCCAGGGTAATTGGCTGTGCCCAGGTGCCGGTGCTGGCCAGGGACACCCTGACTTGCCCCAGGGCCCCCCCCATCGCCTTTGGTTCCCTGCCTGGGCCCACTCGCCTCCCAACTCCCTGCCCTGCCGGTGCTCGGCCCACCCCAGTCCTTCTGGTCTGATACATGTGGCCCTCTGCGGCCCCTTGACGCCCTTTGGCAGGTCACTGGGGTTTCTGTGTGCACACGCCCTCCTGCATGGGCCAAGGGGGCAGAGGGGCGCCCACAGGAGGGGCCCTTTCAGCCAGTTGGGTGGGCCTGGGGCTGGGGAGCAGGCTGCTGCTGGCCTTCCCGCCTGGGCAGTGCGTGGTAGGCCTGGGGCTGGCCCAGGAAGCGGCTTGGTCCCGGGGGTCCCCGGGCCCGCTCTGCTCTCCTCTGAGAGGTGGCAGGGCATGCTCAGGACTGCACTCAGCTGCCGGTGGGAAGTGGCTCCTGGGGGGCCAGTGTCCTTCTCCCCCTCCCTCCCAGGCCTATTTTTAGGGGCCAGGCCAGGCAGCTTCCTGAGGCCGAGGGGCCTGGACAGGGGTTTCCGCTTCCTGGCTGAGGCGGGGGTCCCTGCTCCTCTCTGTGCTTCCTTCCTGACTCAGGCTGGGTGGCTCTGTTCTCAGAGGTCACCACAGGGTCACAGGGTCAGCTGCCTACCCCTGGGAAGGCTGAGATGGGCCCTGTGTCACCCTGTCCTCAGGGTGGCTGGACATGGAGGGTCAGTCTGTGGAGGCCCAAGTCCCCACCCACCCGAGAGTTGCCCTCTGCCCCCCACGCCTCACCTAGGAGGGTCTTTGCTGCGCCTCTTCTCTCAGACTTGTCTGTGTCTGCAGGGGCGTTTCCTGCCTTGCTGCCTGCCTCTGGCTTCACTGCCCTTCTGGGGAGGGTCTCCAGGCCCATGGGACCTCCCAGTTGCCAAGCCGCACGGGCACACAGGGCGCACTTTCCCAGCGAGAGCGCGCCCCCCTGGAGTGGCGGGTTAGAGGGCAGAGGCAGCTCAGAGCCAAGGCCCCTCCCGGGTCCCAGTGGCGCTGCCTCTGACCCCGGCCGTCTCTGCGAGCGTCAGCACCGAGGGGCTGCTGGAGACCAGCCTCCAATCAGGGGAGCACCCTGGTGCATGAGGTGTCCCTGTTGCCCGTGGAATGTGTGGACAAGACGGGGTGACTGTGGGGCCAGTGCGTGGGGGTGGCAGAGGGATGGAAGCCCGGGGCCTGGCAGAGGGTGGGGCCTGGGC